ATATATAGTAGTAGTAGTATGTGTGTTGTGTAGTATATATATATAGTATATATAGTTATATATATATATATATTATAGTATATGTAATATATATATATATGTGTGTGTGTGTGTGTGTGTGTGTGTGTGTGTAACATTATCTAACTATACCCCCTTCCACAACCAATTCACTGCTTTTATTTTTGGTTCGCATATCTACTCTTCTCAGATTCGTGTCGAGGACATGATGGGGAGTTGGGTAGTTCGGTACCAATAGAGCGAGGATCATATCTGGACGGCACTCCAGACGGATATACCAAGCACCCGGGGTCTAGTTCGCCTTTTGGGGTATGTAGTGTATATATAGTCTATTTGGTGCATGTATTGTCAATGTTTGGTCGCCTTTTGGTGTATATAGTGTATATATAGTCTATTTAGTGCATATATAGTCATAATGCCTTTTGGGGTATGTAGTGTATATATAGTCTATTTAATGCATGTATAGTCATAGTTTGGTCGCCTTTTGGGGTATGTAGTGTATATATAGTCTATTTAGTGCATATATAGTCATAGTTTGGTCGCCTTTTAGTGTATGTAGTGTATATATAGTCCTAGTTTGGTCGCCTTTGGTGTATGTAAGGTATATATAGTCTATTTGGTGCATATATAGTCATAGTTTGATTGCCTTTTGGGGTATATACTGTATATATAGACTATTTAGTGCATATATAGTCATAGTTTGGTCGCCTTTTGGGGTCTGTACTGTTTATATAGTCTATTTGGTGCATATATCGTCATAGTTTGCAGGTATATCCCAAGCACCCGTGGTTAAGATCCTCGTGCGCTGTGTCATGTGTGTATACTCCTAGTGTGTAGGGTTATGGTAAGTGTCGGGGTATTCGGGATAAGTAGGGTATATGTCCCTGGAAACCTTAACGCTAACATCTGAAACCTAGCACTAACAACACCACAATTCTCAACTCACACAGGGCCCATCCCACAGCAGGACGCAGAACACAGACACTCGAGACGCCCGTCACCATGGCAACCAGCACAGTTACAGTTCCAACACCCACTACAGCCCCGGCACGACACCGGGGACCAGCAGTTCACATACCAACACATACGACAGCAGCAGTACACACGCACCGACACCCACACGGGAAAATAGTAGTAACCATGACAACAGGCAGGCATATGCCAACCCACACTCCCGGCGCGCGCCCCCTAGCAATACGCTTGCACACACCCGGTCGGACGGACCCGGCTACCTTGGCAACCAGCACCCCAACACGCGGACGGGGAAGAAAAACGGTATAGGAGACAGCCACAGCCGGGCTTCACTGGAGCACAATGTCTCGAACTTCGGGCCACAAGGGCACGCGTATGGCTCTGAGCAAGCCCAAGCACAGTCACGCGCACAGGGACTGTCGCACACGCAGTCGCAGGGCACCAACGGCCGAGGGTATGAGCGAGCGATAGAGCGAGAGAGAGATGGTGAGTGGGGAGCCTCACAGGCGCATACAGGCACACACGCACAGGCACATGCACAGGCACAGACACAGACGCGTATGGCTGAGAGGTCCCGAGGTCAAAGTGGCGTAGAGAGAGATGCGGATGGGCTGAGGAGAGGCTCAGCTGCACGCACACACTCCGACGAGTATCGGGAGAGCGCGGGGTCGTACGAGCCAGAGGGTAGACGCATGTACTATCCGGGTGAGAGTCCGGATGTGACTGGCAGGGACCGTTCGCTTGTGGTATGTACTTTCGCCTGTGTGTAATTGTATAGAGGTTGGTACCTGTATATATTAGATTGTATGTGCGGGCGGTGCTTTGCATCTTTGAAAGTGTGTGTATATGTTAATATATATGCATATTTATGAGGGCAGCATATATGTATATGTATATATATGTATATATATATATATATATATATGGTTATAAAAACAAACCAGCGAGGAATAATATTATAGACAGCCATACACCTGCGCATGCTATCTGTCGGTATATATGTGTATACATTCGGATCTCCCATTACACATCCATTTCAGTTCGGACCGGCAGCAACGCAGAGTTTTCATGATTATGACGGATTTATTGATATTTACAAGCATACTATCTTATGTAAAGTAACTATATATACTCGTATATATGTCCCTATATCTATCCAACGGCAATGGAGTGCTACAACATATCGAACAGAAAATAGATGCATACACCCAAGCATATCATCTGTTTAATATATATATATATATGTATATATATGTATATGTATATATATATATATAAATATATATTTATATATATATATATATATATAAAATATATATATATGTGTGTGTGTGTTATATATATATATATATATATATATAGTTGTGTGTGTGTGTGTGTGTGT